CCCCCCTGCAGAAATACAGCCTGCCCTCCCCCCCTTCACAGCAGCACCTGCCATCAGGACGCTCAAGGCCCTCCTGGTACAGCTCCCCCACCCCCATGGCATGGGGCAGTGGGGTGCGGCCCCGGTCACCTGGCACCAAGTGCTGCTTGTGCCACACCACATGAGTCCAGCCCAGCATGAGGCCATGCACCTTTGGGCAGCTCTGGACCACTCAGGCTGTCACCCAGAGCCCATCACTGCTTGCAGGGACCATGCATTGCACCAGGCTGGGTCCTGCCTCCATGGGCCCCACGCACGATCAGGCTGGGCCAGTTCCATGGAGGCAGGACCTGGCCTGGTGCAACACGTAGTCCCTGCAAGCAGCACCAGGCCCTGGGTGGCAGCCTGAGAGGCCTGGAGCTGCCCAAACTTGCCCAAACCCACGCCGGGCCAAGCCAGGCCTGTGCAATATGGCACAGGCAGTGCCAGGTGTCAGGCCCAGTGATCTCTCTCAGCAGCAATTAAGGATCCATGAATATACATTATCTATAATTACTCAGATTTAAAAAAATAAAAACTTAAGACAGATCAGTGAAAGCCTCTGTTTAGTTTTACAATACAAGTGAAAAAGGAAACAGCATCAGAATGTATGAAGGATTGGGCTAAAATACTGTAATTCCATTAAAACAAGTTTGTTACATCCCATATGTGAAATATTCTCTAGAGCTCTGATTTCTCATAGAAAATATGAAGCAGAAACAGGAAGTTTTCAGATAGGGGTGATTTCAATTTATCAAAGGGATGGAGAATCTCCATGACAAGAAAGACTGAATAGACTGGTTGGTTTAGAGAAGAGATATATTAGAGGCATACAAAATAATAAATGGTAAAAAGGACAGTTGTGTTTACCCCTTATAATAAAAAAGGCACATTCAAGGACAGTGAAAAGGGAAAAGTTGAGACTTTTTTTCCAGTAAATATATTTAACCTATGAATCTTAGTACAATAAGATTGTATTAAGCCAAAGGGCTTAGGTAGTAATCAAAAAAGGATTATCTATTTATACTGATAGTTAATTTGCATAAGATAAAATAATTATCTTATGAGGGATAATTAGATTAATGAGGGATCTGAGACCTCGTGTGTTAGGGCATCAGCCAGCTACTAGCTAACAATAAAGGTAATTTATTTTACAACGGTCCAGTATAGGTCTCTCTCACCTTCCTCAAGAATATCTGATACTACCCCTTGAAAAACATTTTACATTGAACTAGACAAACCATTGGTCTAAGCTAATATGGCAATTTCTATATTCAAGGTAGTTTCCGATGTGTTCATTTAAATTGCATTACTTTGCAAGTGCAAATAAAAGAAATACATAGATTTTGATAGCTGTTCACTCAAGTTTATATTGAGCAGGAGAGAATTTCCAGGAAACAAAGTATTAAGCACAAGCTTTCATAAGATGGCTTTTGTAGCATTTAAAAGTTTTTTGTGCCAGTCCTTGGTGTCCCATATTGGTCTGTTGGTCTATTTGTATGGAAAGAAGGAAAGCAATTAAAACTTCACTGTTCAGCATTCTTCCCCTACAGCTTTACTTGTATGTTGTCATAATGTGGAGTCTTAAAGTCAAATTAATTCCCCATGTAATAATATAGTTTCAGTATTACAGTTTAATGACTTGGTCAGGCAGTTAATATTAGCAGAGATTGCGTTGAACTGAAGGCACCAAAATTTAGTATAAGAAAGGTCCATTTCACTAAAAATGACCAATGCTTTTTATTATTTTGAGCTCATTTAATAGTTAAATAAAAAAGGCATTGGCTGACAACTTTTAACTTTTTTTTCACTAACAACATTTTACAATATTTTTTTAGTGCCAAAATAGATAGTGCAATGTGGGCGCATCTACACAAAATGCTTAACTGCACTGTAGCTTAATTTACTGCATAGTAAATGCATGTCTACATATGTACATGCTTACTGAACAGTAAACACTTAATCATAAGTAAGTTTGCTACCTGCAAATACAGGTAGCAAATTTATGAGTGGTTAATTACTGCACAGATAAGCACATGTGGACACGACCCAGAAGCAACAAGCAATCCAACCTGAGGCTAGCCTCAGGACCCTGGGCTGGGAGCCTCTCCTGCCCCCAGGGCTGGGATGCCTCTATGGCAGCCCCTGCCTCAGGCCTTTAAAAGCCTGCAGGCACAGAGAGACCTGAGGCACATAAGCAAGTAGCCTGAGGCCACTCCAAGACCCTGTGTGTCCCTGGGCAGGCCTCAGGCTAGCCTACCTGCACTCTGGCAATGCACTGCTGTGCGCCTGCCAGGCCCACA